GATGACAAACTCTTTCGCCAGGAAGACCTTATCTTTTTCCCCTTTCTCGCCAACAGTTTGAAATTTATTCCGCGAGATGGCGAGCGGCTAAAGCTTCGAAGCTCTTCGCATCAAATACATATACCCGTATTCGAGGAGCCGTAAGGTGAGAGAAAGAGAATTCTCTCTCCCGTATGATTGTCCGTGGCGCATGAGATATTAAAAATGGCAAATAGCAGCTACCTGCAGGATGCAAAATTCTCGTAAGGATCGGATACGTAGTATGAGAGGATTCGGAATAAGGATGAAGTAAAGGGAGAGAGGAAGCTGGTATGAGGAAGGAAATGCTTCTGATATGAAGAGAGAGAGAGAGAGAGAGAGAGCGAGAGAGAGAGAGAGAGAGAGAGAGAGAGAGAGAGAGAGAGAGTCCGGGCCGCAGGCGGGAGACCCTATAAAACCGCTCGTCTGAATATGTGCATCATTGCTACGGACGCAATTTCCCGGGGTACAGAGACCTCCGCAGGAGGTAGATAGGCAACCCTCTGGCGGGAGGGGTGGGAGGTCGGGAGAGATTACGAGAGGGTTAAAAGAGGGTTTTGGTAGGAAGCCCTAACAGGAAAGGGAGGTAAAGGGATGTCCAGGGCCGCGCAGGCTCTTGATCCTCTCCACGGTAGGAGGAGGAGAATGACCCTGGCCACGAGTTATTCCCTCAGTTTCTATATTTTGTTCTACTTGAAACTTACGAAATGAATATCTAACGATATTGGCTTTCCCAGTAGCCAGTAGCGTCCTGCGTTTCACTGCGCTCAAGCATCACACTCTGCACGTCTAGTGATACCGCGGAGCCATACCCTCTCTTCCACGTGCTTCTATACGTACCTATAACCACGTCATATTCTCTGGAGTGCAAATATTCCCAGCTTTTTATACTCCACCCCCCCTCCCCGTCCATCATGGCTCGGAACATACTGGGACCCTCTCGACTTCAACCCCTTCGACTTCATCAGCCACTTACGCGCATCATCCCCATGAATAACCCTCCAATGCCTTTGCACGGTATTAGGCACATTTTAAAACTCCGCCAAAAAGAATCTCCAACGCGATCCTTCTTAACTGCTATGTTAGTTTTAAAAAAAAAAAATTTTTTTTTCATTTTTTCATCTTTTACTTTCTCAGTCAAATTCCTGAGGAGATTCTCAATCGAGAGCAGTTAGCTCCGTCACGATATTGCGCATTCGCTCTGTGTCTGTCATTCCATATAATAATAGGTCGTATAAATAGAAGCTTGACAATCGCGTTCTAAAAACTCTTCCCAGGAACGAAATTCCTACAAGAAATCTGGGTCGGTCTTTTATCCAAAGAAGACAGAGAGTCGCGACGAGTGGGTCTACGATCTTGTTATCAGCCGTGCTAATTCTCAATTTGAGGAACCCAGTGTGTACCTGGGTTCGATTAATCTATCGAGTCTCGTTACAGGCGCCCGTAATCGTATTTTACGAGACGCCCGTAGCAAAGAGGTGCGCCAACGTAATCGGCCGCGACGTTGGCGCACAATAAAATTATCGTTTAGGCGTCGAGCGTGTTTGTCGTATTTATCGTATCGCGAGCATTGCGCAGTCGATTGTTCCTTATCAGTTAATTATCAGTAAATCTTCGTATCAGCGCAAATATGGTAATGCTAGACGTTAACCGCAATGGCGACGACCACGATCCGGAGAAGGAAGAGGACGAAGAAGAAAAAAAAGGACGCGTTCACAACGTACGTGAAAATGGGGATTAAGCAGCAGCTGGTATAGCAGCCAATCGCATTGTTGCACTCTTTTACAGTGTAAACAGAAATACTGGGCTTTTTTTTCTTTCATTTCTATACCATCGTCAACGAAAATTTACAAAAGCGAGATCGCTTTCGTTCGGTCAACAGGTGGATGCTGTCTTCTCGTTCGCAATGGACCCGTACCGCGTATATACAAGCAACCCGGAGAATTTATCACGGGCAATACGATATCAGTCGTGGTTGACGAAGACGCGGGACTGTCGGAAGTACCTATTGCTAGAGATCTCTTACTTAGGCAGACGAGAGTCACTTCACCCCAGGCTTCACCCCAGGCTTCACTCTATCTCCAGCGTACGAGACACGCACGTAGCGATGGATATAAGGAGAGCCGGTCATGTAGTTATTTCTTGATCTCCCTGGTCGGTACATTAGCCAACGTGTTTTGAAACACTCGCCGGCCGTATTTGTCTTGGCAGCCAAGACCGCCCGTTCTCTCTTTCATCTTGCCACGGCGTCGCGGGTCTCCCTCTTCCCCTCTGCCATTGCTATCTTTCTTATCCTTTTTATCTCTCTGTACGCATCTTTACCCTCTCCTGACCTCTTAGGACACTCTTGAATCTTGCAATCAGACACTTTATTCAACGTGACACGTAAATATATCCCTGATATCTATAGCTCTGCACACAACGAAAATTAATTAGAGTACAATTGTTTTGTGTTTATGAAAATATTTTTTATATATATATTTTTTCTTCCATTTCTCCTTTTATATAAAGAAACAAAAGTAACGTCCAGTCGAGGTAGAAAAGTAATCTATTCTTATCGGTCAATCCTTTACACATATGTGTGTGTGTATATATATATATATATATATATATATATATATATAGTTCTGCCCACTTCCTTTCTAAGAAAGACGAATTAATATTCCTTAATATTCCATTATTTTTGTTTTCTCATAATTTTACTTTGCTTCTGCATCTTCTTTTTTTTCCTTCTTCACCACCCTTTTCTCCACCACCGTCGGCGACATCGTCCTCTTTGAAGTCGTGAATCATCGTAGAATGATTTATTTTCAGAACGCACGGGAAACCGAGCACTGTACGTACGAGAGACTTTGGAATGATTATTAACATACGTATAAAGTACAGTCGGGCTCTCTTACGACGAAGAGACAATTAAGCGTCTTAAGAACGATAAGACACGTGCTAGTTGTGCGTGTGCATGAAAATGAAATTTCGACAAAGCACGTATAACGCGAGTAAAAATGCTCATCCGATGTCCACATGACGAGGGGGACAAGCTTTTGGTCCAGCGTCGTTCGACGGAGGATGAAAGCCACGGACGAGAAAGGTAGTCAGAAGCGAGATAGAATTGGAGATTATTGGCCGTTGGATCACAAGAGAGCCGAAGCTCGGAAGCAAGCGCTTTTCTTTGCCGACGTTGAAAACGACGGGGGGAGGAGGAGGGGGGGGGTCGATCGAGGAAACACGTGGGACTCCTCAATGGCAACCATCCCTTATTGGCTCTAAGGAGGATACTTATTGAACTTTTACCTTCGGTCCTTCATCACTTCCTTTCCCGCGGTGCTTTTCCGACACTTTAAGTGTTTTCGGGTTTATTTAAGACTTCTCGCTGTACCACCGGTTCAAGGTTCCCAAAGCCTCGCGATGCCCTACGCAGCAAGAGACAGTAGAAAAGTATAGGGGATAAGGTACCTCAAAGCTCAACAGAGTTTCTGGCTCTCCGAAAAAGATTTTTACGAAGAGCGAGCTTCTTTCTTTTTTCATCTCGACGACTAAGAAATAAGAGGGGCCGTTTGAACCCTAGTAAAACGTAACTGGCCAGCTGGCTGGATATACGCTTTTACTGTGCTCTTCGTAAGACACTCAGCACTCCGCGTGCGAGAAGTAAAAGTTATCGGCGAAATTCCTACAAGGTATCGGAGAGGCCTACGGGAAGTTTGACCAATCTCCGCACAAGCATCCCGGGTGTCCCGGTTGACGATGTTTCGGTCGCGGCTATTTTTAAAGGGCGAATTGGCCCCGGCGCACACGCCGACGATTATTTACCATCGCGATAAATATACGATAATGTTATCGCCGTTAAATCCGCAACGGGCCTTTCAGTCGCGGGATGTGAATTATAATAAAAGGCTATCGACGCGGTACCGCCGTCGCGGCGCGTAACGTCGTTTTAACGGGCGAGGAGCCCACGGACTGACGGGCCTAAATATACCCATGTACTTCTTGTGTGTATAGAGATATTCAACGCTTCTGTAAATATAAATATTATCGGAATGCGCTTCCCAGGAGAAAGAAATAATTTCGTTATACGTAAACGCTGCCGTTGGATAATAGCCTCTCGACAGAATTCCATTGTGGGCCTTCAATAATGCACCCTTGTTCGATCGTCCGGTACACGGGAGTTTCGAAAGACTTTACGGAAATGGATAATAACAATAATATTTCATCGATCGCCATTCTCAATACGAGTATAAAAGTATGAATATCGATTGAAAATTGGCGACTATAGGAAATCCATGCGTCGGTGGGTTGAGCAGTGATTATTTAACTGGTCGGACTTAATTCGCAACATCGAGCAGAGAACAAGGTGGGTTTACGGTTCGAAGCGAAAAGGGGTGAGAAACGTTATTCGTGTAACCATTGAAGGCCGGAGGGGGTATAGGTGGCAGTGGGTATATATCGAACACGCAATGCGTTAGTCATTCAATCGGCGCGTCAATTGTGCCGGTGTGGGTAGGGCGTCTGTGTTCATAAGTGATAAGGGTGGTGGGAGCACGTGTGTCGATATCACGGGGCCACGCACACCATTTGAACGGCTGAGCTTTACCCGCTAACCCCATGTGCAACAGTTAAACGGTCGGAGTACCGAGTCGTTCACCCGGAAGGGAAGCTTCCCCGATCTGTGAAGGGGTTGATTTCCGAGCGGATGTTCGATCGGCTATCGTCGAGTTCCGCGCTGTGAAAATCCCCTTGGTTAAGAGATAAAAGACCTTGGGGTG